GAGTTTAATTTGACTCACGCTTCCAGGGGACTCAGTCCATGGGTAACTGATTCCAAAGCAGGAACATTGTGGGTGAAGGGTGCAGTGCAGCAAAGCTGCTTGTTCAGGCTGTCTGAGAAACAGGGAAAGAGTTCCACAGAGGAGAGGACCAGAGGCCAGGGGCCAGAGGTCATCTTCACGGTCATGCCTCCATGACTCACCCAGAAGTGTGCTTCTACTAATCCCATAGCCGACCATTCAGGTTGACAGCGAACAACATGGCTTAGGTGCTGGGAGACTGGCACTGCTGGAGCCTTCCCAGAAGCCCTCACCCGCATCCAGCCCCACGGGTCACTTCTGCCAAGCTGTTGTGAGTTAAAGCCTCTATAGTGAATCAGTAAAAGTATAGAAGGTGCTTTCCTGAATTCTGTACCTGTTCTGACAAAACATTATACCAAGGAAGGGGTTTGGGAATCCCCTACTTATAGTCAGCCATTCCATTAGAAGTCCCAGACACTTGGCTACTGTGGACAGTCTGTAGGGAGCTGGGCCTGTGCTTACTCATCCAAGTAACTGACAGAGTGAAGCTGGGTCATTGGACACCCAGTTACTGTCCTGTGAGTCAGAGAATTGGTATAGAAACAAACCACATTTTTTAATCATTTATTTATTTATTTGGTACAGGGTCTTCCTACACAGCTCAGCCTCACCAGCACTGGGCTTATAGGTGTGCACCACCATGCCCAGTTTCCATGGCTGGCACTGTGTGCCTGGGTTTCCCTAGCTAGCATGGCATGCAGTCCCAGGGATCAAACTCAGGTCCTTGCTCTTGCCAGACAGGCACTTAGACTGCCAAGCTATCTCCTCAGCCTAAACCAAACGTTTGGTGGCAGAAGTGTTAATAGTCAATGAACAGTTTGCTTCTAAGTTAGATTGCAGGTGTCAGTACATGACCCCCAAATCATCTCATGGGCCAGGACTTTAAATTTGCAAATATCCATCTTTTTTGGTGTGCAACATCTTTTCTGTGAACACACCATCCTTTAGGAGAACATTGTGCGCATCTTGTTGGCTTGAAGGAACTTAAGATGGTCATTTCTGGCCTCCGTCCTGCCAAGAATCATAGTACCTTAGACTTCCTTCCTTGGGCTCCATCCAAGCTGGTTAGAGATGGGTTAGTCAGTGGTGAACAAGGCAGTTTCACCATCTTTGGCTGGAAAAAGTCCCTGATAATCACCCTGGTCTCCACGCTCCTGCCCTGGCCTCTCCTACCTGCTGCCAATTTCCCAGGAGAGACTCTTGTCCTTCCCACATAGATTAGGGAGCAATGTCACCCTCCAAAGTAGAGGGTGTTGCTATGGGAACCCTGAAGTTATTTGGAGTCACAAAATATCAGTGACACAACCTGAAACACTCCATAATTGTCCTTCAAGAATAATAGGGTAAAACGTTTTATTCTTGGATGAGGGAACTTCATGCTTTTGTCTTCTGGGTGCATCTAGGACACAGAGATGAGCGGCTGAGAGAGCCGGGGGTGGAAGGATGGCTTCTGGGGACCGCGATGGGACTGGTTTTTCTGCCGCTTGGTGCTGCTGCACTGTGTTCCTTTAACAGTTTTGATCTTTCTGAGCTGCTGTGCTGTTCTGGAAAATAGAATGTCAGTCTAGCTCTGAAAGGGAACTTGAGGGCTGGCTAAATAGCTCAGAGAATTAAAGCTCCTGCAAGCAGGCACAGGAGCCGGGGATTCGATCCCTGGGCCTGCTTTGCCGGCCCCCGCCCCTGGGGGGAACACTGAGATGGCAAGTGAGACTGTAATCCCAGCTCTTGGGAGGCTGTAAAAAGGCAGATCATTGCGAGTCTGATCTATTAGTGAGACCCTGAACACCCTGTAGACCCTTCCCTAAAATACAAAAAGAAAAGATGTAGAACCTTAGAGAAGTTTGTTTCAGAAAGGTTCCGTGTGTTTAATAAGAACATAGATTGGTTTTAGGAATATTTTTAGCACTGTGGAGTAATCTACAAGGTTTTATTTTGGGTGACTGTTATAATTTATTTTCATGTAAGTTTAGAAGAGTTACAAAAATGGGTTGGGGAGATAGCTCAGTAGAATAAGTGCTTGCCTGGCAAGCACAGGGTCCTGAGTTCAATCCCCACTACCACAAAAAAAAAAAAAAAAAGAAAAGAAAAGAAAAGAAAAAAAGTTACAAAAAGAGAACTAGTGGAAGACCTTTTTTCGGAACCGGGGATTGAACTCAGATCCTTGCGCTTGCCAGTCAAGCGCTTATCCTACTGAGCCATCTCCCCGGCCCCTGCTCCATTTATTCTATGTGTGTATTTGTTTCCAGAACTTTCGAGGCTATAAATTAGAGGTATTGGCTCTTATACCCACAAATATTTCAAGTATGTCTCTTTAAGAACAATGAAATTCATAAACCACAGTAAGGTTATTGAAATCAGGAAATAAAACTTGGATGCAGCTCATCCAGAGCCTATTTCAGCTTATATCCTCTGCCCCCGGCATGTCAGTTACAGCACTGTGTGTTCCACTCTCAGATCTGAGCCAGGATCACATATTGCATTTAGTTGTATCTTTGAGCCCGAAATCATCCTTTAAACCCTCCTGTTGTCTCTGTAGAATACAAAATAGTTATTTTGTAAATCGTCCCTGCTCTGGAGCGGCCTGGATGCCTCCTTGTTGGAGGAGGGGCGAGGCTACACCTGTGTAGTTAGTAGGAACAGCCCAGAAGGGGTCCTCTGCCCTCAGTGCCTCCCATCAGAAGGCGAGGATGTAGGTGTCAGTCCCTTGGTTAAGGTGCTCAGGAGGCTGTGGCAGGAGGATCGCGAGTTTGAGGGCAGACTGAGCAGCACAGCAAGGCCCTGTCTGAAGGTAGAGGGTGGGGGGTAGAGCCCCTGCTTGCCTGGCATGTGTGAGCCCCTGGGTTCGCTCCCCAGGGTCACTGCAAAATGCTGTCAGATTTCTTCCCCATAAAGATACATTTTCATTTGAAATTAGTAAGTACATTGAGAGAATATTCTTTGAGACTATATATCTCCTCAATGTCATTCCTTCTAAATTTGCTGTTACTGCATTACATGGAAGAGCGGTCCCATCCCCCATCTATTTACATCAGTAAGGACCCATAAACACATTTTATTCTCTGGTAATCCAGTGCCACCATTTATTAGTTAGGTGCTCCAGTTAGCCCAGATTTCTGCTCAGCTGTTTCCTTTAAAATAAGTTTACATGAACCCTATCGTCTCCAAGTTGGGCATTCAAAGAAGTCAAAAGTTCAAGTGGAGAAGAACTTAGGTTACTAGGAGGTAGAAATATGGATGTAAGGAGCATTACTTTGGGGTTGGGGAGATAGCTCAGTGGTCTAAGCGCCTGCCTGGTAAACTCAAAGACTTGGTTCAATCCCCGGTACCACATGCTGTACCGGCCCTGCTGTGTAGTGAGACCCTGTACCGAATAAATAAAAGACAAAAAAAGCCTTAAGAAAAGAAAAAAAAAAAGAAAAGAAAAATAATTGTGTAATTTTCAGTAAAAACAAAACAGTCTACATGGAATTATGTTAAAGTACTGAGTGGCAGTGTTCCAGCGTCCAGGGTCAGGGCAGTTGTGTCCTTTTAAGGAAAGGACTAGAAAGTCCTGGTTGCCCCGGGCTTGCGGCTGAGCCTCTGCGTAGAGGGACAGCTAACCAGAAAATCAATGTCAGCTCTGAGAAGTCTCACACCCCGTCTGGCTCAGCCGCTCATCATCTTTTTTGGAGGACAGAGACGAGACTTCTGTGAGGATCTGAATGAAAGCTATAAGCCGCGGCTCCTCAAGAACAAGGAGCAGTATGGTCTGTTTGGCTATGAGGTCATCTAGAGATAGATTTTATTTTCCTCAGGGGCCTCCCTGGTGACTCAACACTTAGCAATCTGCCAAGAATGTATGTCCCTGACAAAGAAGAGACCTTTCAGAGCCTCCCCTTCCTTCCCCATAATATGGAAAGGAATTTATCAGATCCATCAAACTCTTGATCCTTTACAGGATAGACTCTAAGCCTGGTGGCACCCCCTCCTGACCCTAGCACTTGGGAGGCTGGGGCAGGAGGTTCCGGAGCTGAAGGCCAGCCTGCGCTACCTAGCAAGACTTTTCTGGGGGGAATAAAAATGTTTGTGAGGTGATCAACGCTTTGGTACAGCTGTCTTTTGACATCACTTAGACAACTTGCAGGCTGGCCCAGTGGGTCAAGTTAGGCTTTCTGGAACTTTTTTAGACAAGAAGTAGGTGACTTCCTGAGGTTGTTAATTCAGGATCCAGAGGAAGCTGGGTGTGACGGTGACTCTTGAAACCTCAGTACTTTGGGAGGCTGAGGCAGGAGGATTGCAAATTCAAACCCAGCCTGGACAACTTTGTAACTTAGAGACCGCCTGTCTCACAATAATAAAATAAAATAAAATGGAATGGGAATTTTTCTCAGTGTGAAGGATCTGGGTTCAATCCCAAGTGCTACAAAAGAGAAAAACAATGATCCAAAGAATAATAATTAATTACACAGGACTGAAAGAACTGGTGAGGGAGGATTGTAGTTGGATGTACTGTTGATGTTTAATGCTTTATTTTCTAAATACATGAGGAAGCTTGCTTGCTTTTTTTTTTTTTTTTGGTCCGGCTATACCAGGGATTGAACTCAGGCCCTTGGGCTTGCCAGGCAAGTGCTTATTCTACTGAGCTGTCTCTCTAGCCCCAAGGCTCTGTTTTTTTTTTTTTTTTTTTTTTTTTAAATTTTTTTTTTTTTATTTTTTTTTTTAGTGTGTGTGGCCAGCTCAGCCCCCCAGGAAGTGGGGCTGGCTGGCATGTGGTGCTGGGGGATTGAACCGCGGTCCCTGTGCTTTACTTAGCTTAGCTTGTTCTAAGTAGGTGCTTTAGACCACTGAGCCATCTCACCAGCCCCCAAGACACCATTTTTAAATGTTACATTTCAGCTCAGAAAAACAGAGCCTTGGGGCTGGTGAGATGGCTCAGTGGTCTAAAGCACCTACTTAGAACAAGCTTAGCAAAGCACAGGGACCGCGGTACAATCCCCCAGCACCACGTGCCAGCCAGCCCCGCCCCCCCGGTGGGCTGAGCTGGCCACACACATAAATAAATAAAAATAATTTTTTTAAAAATGCTGTCTTGAACTGGGGAGGGATGTAGCTCCAGGTTAGAGTACTCGGCTAGTATACACAGGGCCCTGAGTTTGGCTCCCCAGCACCATGAAAATAAACTGTTCTCCTTGTCTAATTTCCTTCTCCTCCTCCCACTGAAATTCTTGAGTTTTTACTTTTGGTGACATACAGTTATTTACATCAGCTTGCTACCCATGTCCTTCTTTGCACCAGGCTATGATCAGAATAATTGGTTTAGTAATCAAGGCCTTGCCTTGTGTTATTTGAGAATAAAGCTGACTTCATCAGGCCCTGACCAAACCTTTTAAGGAAGTAAGCATGACTTTCTTTGAGCCAGCGCTTTCACAGCCCTCCCAGGAAAGCGGACCTGGCATCCAAGTTACAGAGTCTCCTGTCTTACCAGTGAGTAAGAAAGCTCACTTCTGGGGAGGCCTGAATATTTTAGATACTTAAGGGATTCAACAAAGGGAACCCTGGGCTGGGGAGATAGCTCAGCAGCATGAGTGCCTGTCTGGCAAGTGCAGGGTCCCAAGTTCAATCCCAGGTACCCCATGCTGTGTCAGCCCCAAGACTGCATGGTGGTGCACGCCTGTAATGCCAGCACTGGGGAGGATGAGACAGGAGGATCACTATGAGTCCAAGTTGCATAGCAAGACTCTGTATCAAAAAAGAGAACTCCATAGTCTTGCTTTATCTTGGTCTTAACCATCCAGCAGAAAAATATAAAAATGAAGTATAAGAAGTAAAGCCATGCTGTTATGTTGAGCTGTAGGGGACT